CCGTCGGAGAGACAGTTCTTTGTGCGCTCCTGGATATTCGAAGAGCATTCTAAAAACTCCGAGTGCATTCTAAATATTTTTATCCATTCTTGTGACATCCCGAATGTTTTTGTCATGTCAAAAACTTTCGAAGTGCATTCCAAGTGGAAATTTATCGAATGGCATTTGAACAGTATTCTAACTGCACTATGACTGCATTCTTAATATACTCACGACATTCCGACAGCATTCGAAACATTCTGATCACATTAGAGGAATATTCGAACTGACAAGTGACTTAAAGCTCCCGTCAAACTTATTCGAAATCAGTAGGAATCAAGCCGGAATTACTAAATTAAAAATATTCGTACCATATCCGAGGGGGGGGGGGGGTTTCAAATTATCAGAAAATATTACGGCTTTGTAAGAATGCCTCTGGAATACTAAGAACGCACATCGAACCCGCCTGGAATGATTCTTGCACAGTCCAGGTATATTACCTCTCAAATGCAGCTCGAATGTAGTTGGAATACTGTAGGGATATTGCAATAAATTTCCTCTAAGAATTTGAATTTAAAAATTTTCCCCGAATGCGGAACGAATTTTAAAAATTCTTCGTTCAGGCTCATTCTTCTTCATTCCTGCTGATTCCGAATAAGCGCATTTCGAAAGTTTTTGACATGACAAAAACATTCGAGCCGGCCACAAGAATGGGTAAAAATATTTGGAATGCACTCAGAATTTTTGAAATGTTTTTAGAATGCTCTTTGAAAATCCTGGAATGCACAAAGAATTGTATTTCAGACGATGAAGTCACTTCCGCTGTGATGAAGATCGGTTTCGTGCTAAGCTATGAATTCAATGGGTTGTAACCTGACCTGAAGACTTGTGGTAAAAGTGATGTACTTAGGGTCTTAAACTGTTTGGTGTCAGTCTCTTATTCGATGGTACAGCGTCTGCCTACATGTGATTGGAAGTCAGCTATGCATTTACATACAAATAAGGGTCACATTTTAATGACGGAGCTTTTTTTTTTTTTTTTAACAACGTTTATTCAAAAGAATGAAGTGGAGGCAAGGCGCTGGAAGCATTATATGCTCTCCACAAAATTAAATTAAATAAGTAAATAAATAAAACAAATGGATAGGTATATACATATATACAACAGAGTAAATGTAAAACTTCATATATATCAGGAGCACAAGTTAAGTACAGAAAGAAAGAAGAGGAAAAGAGATAATACCTATTAAGTGATAACAAAGTTTACGAGAAGAAAATTTGCAACAGTGTCGAAGATAATTTCATTTTGGGTGGGTGATAAGGATTTATGACCGTAGAGAAATAACGACAGCTTTTCTTTTTGTGTTTTGAAAGAGGTCTTGCTTGCATGTAGAGTTTCATTTATTTTTTGGTAAAGGGGAGCTTATGTTAGGCAACAGTAAAGTACTATTATTCAGGCAGGCTGCCATAAATTCCAGGACTGGTAGGTACCTTGCCTAAAAATGTAAAAATGAAACAAAACCACAGTCATTTAAAATGCAAACGCATTTATACCAGCATAGTGCTTCTGTATCTGGGACATCTGAACGTGCCTTTTGTCTGTATATCATGTAGTCTGATCTTGAGTTTGGGGGTTGCAGTGAACATCCATTGTGTGACAACAGCTGTAATAACATTGCTGAATTGATAGAACAAAGAATATGCAGTCTGTAACATCGAGTAGTACAGATACTTCTGGAATAGTGCAAGAAAAACAAGTTGGGAGAATAACTTTATGCCACCCACTTACATTCCTATTTCTGAGAAATGTGGCCATTAAACTTTCCTTCTATAATTTTAGGTAATTTTCTATGATTTATTTGTGTATTTATTCCGAATAAAAAGTATAATAACCAATTCAACCTCATCAACAGATACAAGTAGAAGAGAAGTGGGGCTGGAAAGTGTGACGTCCAAAACCGAAAAGAATATGAACGCTAGAGCTCACCCTGCTCATGTGCTCTTATTTATTTTATTCTATTTCATCCGAATACAACCCGATGTGGTCAAATTCCATTGTGTTCGCATATTACAATAAACATAAAATAGTTAAATAAACGTTGTTATTTTTAAAATTTTAAATTATGTTGAAAAACAATAAAAAAAAAAAAAACAATCAATCCAGTCACGCAACCCTACACAGAACCAGTGATGCTGTATGGCTGTGAAAAACGTGTAAATTTCTTCTCTTTTGTTATAGACGTAGACAGAGGAGCAAATATCACTCTTTTTTCAATACCAGAACGCTTTAACTCGCAGTTCCTTGTATCTTCTGCCATATAGAAAATGGTTAAGGAAAAAGAACTTGGTAGTAAACAGCAAGTCACTCTGATGAAAGTTTGCTAAATAGTGCGCAATATACATTGTAATGCTTGAGATTATATATTTACGTTCGTGCAGTGAAATCCCAATTCAAGTATTTTATTTGGCGTTCCTGACTACAAACCTGCCCTAGAGTTCACATGCACCATTTATCATTTTTGAAGCATGAAGCCAATTAGGTAAAATAGAAATATGATAAAATACGTTTAATTGTTGTCATGCCTTGAATAATGGTTATGTTTGGTATCTCTCTTAATCTCTAAGGCAAATCTCTATTTTGGGCAAGTTTCCTTAGATTTCAGAATAATAGGAATATAAACTAATATGTAAAAAGTTCCCAAGAAGTAAAACCAAGGAACTCCATATGTAAACAAGGTTATACCCATATTGTGCATGTTTGTATCTGAAAACTCTGAATGTATCTTTTGTCTGTATAACAATAATGCTGTCTCTCCTAGTATCACACGGCATGCGGGTTAGTGTGTCTGTGTGTATCGTTACAGTGCATATACCGGGGTATTATACACACAGTGAGGCTTTGTATATTTTTCTTTCTGTCCACGCGATGTTACTGTGTATACATTATACTAACGTCGTTCAAGAAGTTCTAAGCAACAGTCTTAAAAAAGGGTTGTCTTTGTCATAAAGTAACCAACCACTGACCAACTTAAGGTGCCTAGTAATTCCACAGATATGCACACGTTTCCATACATTCTAATTATTTAATTGATCAATCCAATTTTATAAAGATAATTATTTACTTGATGAAATGCTGGAGGTTTTATTATTTCCATGTCTTCATGTCATGCTTGTCATGCTTAGACCTTGCATGACGACATATTATTTCAATAAGCAATATTATTTCAATAAGAAAAAAGATGAAAAATTAATTAAATTAAGATGCATTCATGATTTTCAGGATCAAATTTAACCACGAGCAACTTTTTTTCAATACCGGTAACTTTCTAAAGCCCCATTTACACCGGACGGCGTCCTTTCTGCGTCCTTTGCGCATGAATCTGGCATCGCTGTACATGTGGTCATACCACGTTCGGATACTTGGGAACAGATATGTATTCATTGCAGTCTAGACTAAGGGTGCGGAACCAACTCAAACATCATTCTATATCAAGTTCACCAGAGGCCAAATTATGAAGGTCTATTGCAAATAACTTCAGCCACTTATTGAGTTTTAATGCCTGCCTCAACTTGGGTGTGATGTCACCGTCTCACCTGTTCTTCAATGGTCAGAGGTAGAGAAATCAGTTCATGCAGAAAGTTCAGAAGTTACTTATAATGTACGGTGGGGAATGTTAGAGGATTATTTGCAGATTTGAAGTTCTACATTTATGTTATATTTCAAGTAAAAATATAATTATAACGATGATCTGGTCTCTAAATCAGTCAAATATTTTGTTATTTCATTTTCTGCAGAAAAAATATAGCGAAGATCAACGACAATGTGTAAATCAAGTATAGAAGTAAAAGTTTAAAAGAGAAATAAAGTTTTTGGACATTATATTGGTTTATTGGAGCGGGACCGAGATTTACAAGATTTTCTGATAATTCCATTTGTTGGCTTCGCCCACCAAGAAAAGATAACCTGCATGTTCATCCCTTTGCCACTGCATCCAAATCCTCCTCCTTGTTAACCATGTCAATATCTATTATTTAGAACCATGCACTTAGTTCTTAAGTCCAAAGATCAGATAATTATTCGCCGAGAGGAACCAATGCATGTATTGAGATGTTTGAACTATAAATGCTGTTATAGATGTTTGAAGTATAACTATTTCAAACAAGTTGATGTGATTGCATTCAGTAAGAGGCCCCTTGGAGTTTGATCGATCTACAAACATCTGTAGAAATGAGAATGAACCCGATAATTACTGTATCAGCGATGTTTCAAAACCTTAGAATATGTTTGTGTCCTATTTTTATTCAAACCGACAGCAGCTGTGCCACGTTCATAAATTGATTGGTCACTTTCTGTGCCTTTGGTGTCTTTGAAGCATTTATGCTCATAGCTAAGGCTGTATTCCCAGAGCTTTTAGATCGATCTATCCCGGCGGGGAGTCTCACTAGATTACTGTCAGATAATCCGGCTTAAATGTCCATCCCGCCTACTACAAGCTGTAAGGGGGTAATTAACTTTCGTGTCCGCCCTGCTGACAGCTATTTAGCGTGAACTCCCAGGGAGTTAGGTCGATCTAAAGTAGATCGATCTAATCTCTGAAAATGGGGTCCAAGTTTGAAAGTGAGCAGTGAAATCACAACCACCATGACATATGTTCATAATAGATAGGAGGGGGGGTTTAAGTGTTTTATCTGCAGAGTTAACGGATGACCATGGCAATGGAATATATTGGTTATCCCTGGGCATGTCGACTTTACTTGAACGGTATAAGAAACTGGTAGAAGTAGTTTATATAAGTTCATGAGAATCCACGCTCAACCAACTCTCGGTTCTAAAGTACTTTTAATTTCCAATGTCGAGAAAAGTTTAGCGATTATTTTTTCTGAATCAAATTGAAAATATCTAGGAAATATCTTATGCATCAGCAACTTCAAAGAATTTCCAATTTTTTTTCCTGACACTTCCGAACACTAGAATCCATGTATGTGATAATTACGACCCCCAATCAGGATTTTGTATTTAGTTAATTTCCAGGAGAACCATAGAACAGGGCTGTTTTGGTGTCTTTCATTCCGAAATAAAAATCGCCACAGACAAATAAGAACTCATCCAAACTAATGATGTGATTTTGGTTGCGGTCAATGGCATTGAACAGCTCTTCAGGAGGCAATACGTTCCGTGTTATATGTAGAAAGTTGGAATACTCGTCAGCAGACAATTCTTCATCGCAGTCTACATCTAAAATATGGAACCAGTCCAAACACCAATACAACTGAAACTCATTCGCTGTTGCATTAAGGAGGTCCATTTCAAATAACTTAAGCCACATATCGAGGTTAATTGCTTGTTTTGTGTTGGCCGCTTTTTGCAACGAAAACTGCCAATCTCTCATCATTAGTCCGTATACAGCATTGGCCCTCCATGGGGAGAGAACCTGTTGAGCTCGTTTCGCCACTTCGTCCCCGTATTCCTCTTTGTACACCAAACCGTCATTGTTGTTGTCCATAATTCTAAACCACAACGTGAATTTCTGAATCCAAAGATCAGATATTTGCACGTCCTGGGAAACCTGCGAATTAATTGAAAATTGATGGAAAATAGCTCGTCGATAAATTAACGGTTTCTAAAGAATGTTAGCAATGCATCTGATTAAATACTGTTTTGAAATAGTTAATATGGCAACATATTTTCTCAAAGGACATGTTCCCTAAAACAGATTTTATGAACTTTATAAGTATAATATTTTCCGTGATTAAATACAGTTAAGTGATTGACGAGATTGTGCATAATGTATATCATGTTGAAAACTAACCTCAACAACATCCCGTCCGAAGCCGTATCCAAAAGCGGTGAGTAAAACAGTGCCAGTTAATAGATTGAACACATACATAGTAAGCTGTTCGAAAATAAAGCAAACAAGTTAAACAGCCTTTGGATAAATTAATTAGAAACGAAAATGCAATCAGAAATATGATCTTTCAGACTGATCGCTACAGCGCGTATGGTATCTTAATAACTTGGTAACATCGGAATACAGCAGATAAGTATTCTCTGATAAAAGAGTGAGGTTAATCAAACTTGATCAAAAATATCATTAACCCCATAGCGCCGGGAACCGCACATATGCGGTTCATTTTAAAAAGTCCTCAGTGCCGGGAACCGCATATACGCGGTTTCTGTGTTTACATGCTTGTACTGTCCTCTGTCATTTGTAACAATTCATGCTTCTATCACAAGAATAACTCAATGTTAGTTTTTTGTTTACTACCGGCTTTTAAAAGACGTGTAGCAAGAATTAGATAATGAAAAAGCGATTTATTTCAACCATTGTCGAGGCGCTAAGAAGTCAAAATGGCGACGAGAAGTCCGCAGAAATTATGGTTTGAGAAATGTTCTAGTCTTGTTAGAAAATTCAGACTTCGGGAAAGTGTCCTTGATAGATTTTGATACTCCGATAACTTCAAAGATTATGTACCTTTGGCTAGTATGAGTTGTCAGAGAGCAGATTCGGACGTGGGGCTTGATTTATGAAAAACGCTGATGATAATAACGGCAGTAACCAAGCAGACGACAATAGTAATTGGAAGGGCTATATTGCTGATAAAATGACTGTAAACGTTCCGTGGCAAGTCAGGCTAAATGTTGCCTTGTGTGCTGTTTCAACATGTCTTTTCCTGCTTGTGCATAAATACAAATGTAATATGTTACGTTGTACTGCATCAACATGTCTTTTCCTGCTTATGTATAAGTACAAATGACATATGTTTACTTGTGTGCTGCATCTACGTATGGCTTTTCCTGCTTGAGTATAAATACAGATGTAATATGTTTACTAGTGCGCTGTATCAACATGTCTTTTCCTGCTTGTGTATTAGTACAAATTCCACGTTTGCTTGTATTTTTATGATGCAATTTTTATTCACGAAAGTGTAATATTTGCTCATGATATTGTTTGTATTCTTGTATACATGTATGATTTGAGTGCAAAACAAAATTTTATGAGTATCCTGGTTCAGTTGATTAAAAAACTATAGAAGAACTATTAAAAACGGCACTTAATTTACAATCTATTTGTAATTATAAACGTAATTAGGTGGAAGTCTTCCAGTCAGCTAGCCCGCCAGTATATTGTGCAACTAGCTGACGTGATGAAGGTTTTTAGGTACAGCATGCATCCCAGGAAATTCATTATAACTCAAAAACTAAATAAGATATCTTTCTGAAATTTTCTGACATTATTTAAAATATATTTCGAATGTTTCTGAGTAAATTTCAACAAATTGTTTGGTAAAGTGAAAAAGAATGTGTATGCTGAAATTAAAGTTTTGTTTTTTACTTCTCTTCGAGAAAAGCAAGTCTCATATTTAAACTCCTGCTTTTTCTACCTAAGTTAACAAATATGAATAAAACTGTTATGACTTTAAAGCTTACATTGTTGGCTTTCTAAAAATGTACAGTTCTTAGGTGTTTTCTAGACAAGTGTATACATTATCATTGCTTAAATGAGGCCGCCTGTAAAATTGAGTGCGTCCGTGTAGAGGGCTCAGGACCAAGGGCACTTTCTAGGTCAGATGCTGTCAGGCGCTATGGGGTTAACATTTTCACATAATTAAGTTAATGGCGTTTTCTAACATTCGTTGGGCAAACTTGTGCTTTAATGATAACAGTTAAACCCTTTACCCAAGAAGCGTTGAAAAAAGTGCCAAGCAGATCTAAATTTCAGCAATTCCTTATTACATAGATATATAAAGGCAATTAAGTGTAGGTAAGTAAAGATAATTGAGACCTTTCAGAATTTTTCCTGGTCTAATAATAAATAGATCGGCTTCATTGCCATAAGTTCTGGCTTGTGACATTTTGTGATGTCCACTATTACACAAAAAGGTCTGTCTTAAATCTTTTTGTTAATTTTTCAAGGCTTTGACTTTAAAGCTAAATAACGACTTTAGAGCAAAATATCCACAAGAAGCTGTTCGTAACCTTCCCTGAAGTCTCTTACTTATAGCGGTGGCTCGATCCTCAGCTGTTGTCTGTTATAAATGTCTAGTACTTGCAGCCTCAAAAACAACGTCTGGCGTCACACGTTTAAGACACGTTTATTTAGATAATTTTTTACTGGAGCTATGAGGTTTGAAGGTGACCTTCATCTCAGACAAATTTCAGAATCATAAATTGAAATGTAAAGAAATTAATATTCATTTAGTGTCATTGAAATGTATGCACGCGTCTTTGTCTGTATACCATGTAGTCTGATCTGGAATATGGGGGCTTCCGTTGATTTCCCTTTGTGCGAAAGCCACCGCAATTGATGTAATGTGAATTATGTGTGTAGTATCGAAGGCATGTGGGTAAGTTTTTCTCTCTGCACCGTTACCACAGATACGTTTTATGCGTGTTCAAAAAATTGCACCCTGGGCCAAAAAAGAAAAGTTATCGCTAAACACTTTATTCGTGACAGTCTGAATACAAGTTTCTTAATTGATTAATTTAAGCATGACGCTCCCCATAAAAGAAGTGCATCTAGGAAAAGGAGAAAAAAATCATTTGAAGAAATAGAAGAAAAAAGATTCCCAGCATATGGTGAAAAATACATATAGGTTTATTATATATCTGTGGTAAATAGGGCCCAACTTTATTTTATATCCAAGTGACCCATGGAAAAGGGTCAGTCGAAATAAAATATGACAACAGTATGAGAATTCTTCCAAAACTGATTAAGCCATTTCTGCCGCAGTCAATTGTACTAAAAAGTTCCTCCGGCCGCAGTTCGTTAAGCAGCATATGTAGTCCGGTGGCTTAGGGCAAAAAAAGGGCCAAATCGTGACACGCCATTAGCCATAGAAGGTGGGGTTCAGTTAATACCTGCGAGAGATAAGCTTCCATATAAAATGAAGCTAAATTCAGTTTTTTTTCTGTTCATTATTATTATTATTATTATTATTATTATTATCCCATGAAACATATCTGTTAGGTAATTAATGTCCATATTTGATCATTTACCAAAAGTACCGAAAAACAAAATTAATTGTATATTGAACCCAGTGTCTCTCTGGCAGTAGCTGACTGTCCTATTCCTATTGTGACATTCTATATATGATGTTTGTCTACATTTTAAAGAATGAAATGTAAACACTATATACCTTCAACACAATAACATTTATAGACTTATTTTTAAACACATAAATCTAAATGAGTTTTTTTAATCAAATCATATATTCCTTTTTCATTAAACTGATAAGTGGATACTAATCAGATGAGGGAATTAAAACTCTATTACTTCGCTGTATTGTCGTGTATTACGGGGTTTGGTTACTTTGGTTTGAATCAGTGAATGTTGGGCTCCAGCAACTACAGTGTGCCCCCGTACTGGGTTAGTTTATGACGGAGGCCTGCTACTGATGTAACAGAGAAAAGGCATGGAACATTAGCCTAGAAAATACCACCGATTGGTTTGCTATTGCTTCGTGGATTGCTCAGTGTTTTTATCAAGTAATGTATACGCCTGTCACAATAATAAATAAATAAATAAATAAATAAATAAATAAATAAATAAACATGAATGAATATGTGGAACACAACATTAGACGCTGGTCTCCTTTAGCCAAAGGACATATCCAAATGCTAGCTTATTCACGAAGTTACCTCTGGAAAAGTATAGAAAGAAAATGGTTAGAATAGAGCTACATCAGACAAAGAAAAAAAAACATATATGCGGGGAAATCCCAATTTGAAGTCTTTTATTTGGTGATCCTGACCACAACCCCCCTTGAAGCCTGAAGCCAATAGGTAAAACAAAAATATGATAAAATAAGTTTCAATATCTTCATGCCTTCGCGTATTGCATAACCCCGGAGTTTCAGTAAAAACATTATTTAAATCATAAGAAAATACCCAATGTTAAATACATTAAAATTGTTATGGGTTTTATAAGAGGAAATGGAGATACATGAAAATTTAATGTAACTGTTATTGCAACCGTTGGCTTTGTTTTTTTTTTTTTTTCAAATTATATTTCTGTCTATCCTGAATATTTCTGTAAGATGTTTCTACAGCTATCCTGACACATCGTGTCTTTTTCTTCTATTTATTTTTCAGGAGAACATAGAAAAGAAAAGAAAAGGGCTGCATTCTTTTCATTCATGTCAAAATAAAAATGCTCACAACCATATAAAAACTCTTCCATGCTGATTATGTCATTGCGGCTGTGGTCAATGATATTGAAAAGTTCTCCAGGAGGCAAGACGTTACGTGTTATCTCTAGCAAATTGGAATACTCGCTAACAGACATCGCCTCATCGCAGTTTTCAACTAGAATATGGAACCAGTTTAAACACCAATACGACTCAAGACCATTCAAAGTCACATTTAGGATGTCCAATTCCAGTAACCTGAGCCACCTATCAAGGTTCAAGGGTTGGTCCACGTCGGATGTAACGCAGTTCAAAGTTAACCACCAACCTGTTTTCATTAATCCATACACTGCCTTGGCCCTCCATGACGAGAGAACCCGCTGAGCCCTAAATGCCACTTCGTCCATGAATTCTTCTTTGTAGACCAAACCGTCGTTGTTGACATCTATTACTCTAAAATATTCAGTGAATTTCTTAATCCAAAGATCAGATACTTGGTTTTCTTCAGGCACCTATGCATTTATTGAAAAAATTGGATCAATTAGGCATTTGTGAAATCAATGTCTTCTGATTGCATACATGCAAATTTCAGTTTCAAAAGAGGTTATCTTGAAAGTACAGGCTAAATTTTTTTTGCAAACTATTTGTATACTATTGCAACTTTTTGAAAAAGTATTAGTAATATAAAACATAAAGATATACATTTGTAGTTGATAACTTACCTGAGCAGTATTCTGCCCGACTGTGTAGCCACAAAAGGCAACGAAAACTGCAATGGCAGCAAGTTGATTAATCACAGACATGATTAACTGTTTGAAAATAAGGAAAAAAATTAAAATCAACCTAGCATCGAGAAACACCAGTTAGTTTCTAAAATGTATTTAAATAAAACGCTATTAAAAGTATTTTAGCAATACATCTAATAATGTTAAATACTGTTTTAAATTTCAACAATTCTTAGCTACATAGATATATAAAGGTGGTTAAGTGTAGCTAAGTAAAGATAATTAAGATTCTTCAGAATTTAACTTAAATCTCTTATAATTAATATGTCACTTTCATTGCCTAAGTTCTGGCTTGAGTTATTTTGTGATGTTCACTTTGTCGCATGGAGGCATGTCTTAAATATTTTTGTTATTCTACAAGGCTTTGGCTTTTTAAAGCTTTAAAAAGCTAAATAACGACTTTAGAGTAAAATATCCATATGAAGCTCTTCATAACCTTACCTGAAGTCTCTTTCTTAAAGTGGGGACTCGATTCTCGGCTTTCCTCTGTTATTTATGCCTAGTACTTGCAGCCTCTTATTTTTGAAAACAACGCCTGGCTTCATACGTTTAAGACACGCACAGTTAGATAATTGTTTACTGGAGCTATGATGTAATGAAGGTAACCTTCATCTCGAACAAATTTCAGAATCATAAATTGAAATGTAAAGAAATTCGTATTCATTTAGTGTCATTGAAATGTATGCACGCGTCTTTGTCTGTATATCATGTTGTTTGATATGGAATATGGGGGCTTCAGTTGATTTCCTTTTTGTGCAGAAGTCACACAATTGATACAACTAAAACGAAGTGTCTAGTATTCTCTTTGTACCGTTGCTGGGTATACATTTTATGCGTTTTCAAAAAAGGGACCAAAAGGGAAAAGTTATCGCTAAACACATGGGGTGACATAATTGGTGAAAAATATGTTTCAGTTCTTATGTGCAGTGGTTTGCTTCGGTGTTTTGTTCAGACCCGGACATTTTGGGACATAATCGCTATCATAAAAAGACGAAAAGTACAATATTTTTTCCAAAATCAAATTGAAAATATCTATGAAATATCGTTTGCACAAGCAACTTCAGAAAGTCCCCAACTTTATTCTTGACCATTCCGAATATTGGTATCCATTTATGTGGTAATTCTGACCCTAATAGGGTATTATATTTAGTTAATTTCCAGGAGCACCAAGAAACAGGGGTGTTTTGCTGTCTTTCATTTCGAAATTAAAATCGCTACAGACAAATAAGGACTCATCCAAACTAATGATGTGATTTTGGTTGCGGTCAATGGCATTGAACAGCTCTTCAGGAGGCAATACGTTGCGTGTTATATGTAAAAAGTTGGATAATTCTTCATCGCAGTCTACATCTAAAACATGGAACCAGTCTGAACACCAATGTAGCTGAGACTCATTCACTGATGCATTTAGGAGGTTCATTTAAAATAACTTAACCAACATATCGAGTTTAATCGCTTGTTCTGTGTTGGCCGTTTTTTGCACCGAAAACTGCCAATCTTTCATCATTAGTCCGTATACAGCATTGGCCCTCCATGGGGAGAGAACCTGTTGACCTCGTTTCGCCACTTCGTCCACGTATTCCTCTTTGTAGACCAAACCGTCGTTATTGGTGTCCATGATTCTAAACCACATTGTGGCTTTCTGTATCCAAAGATCAGATATATGCACTTCTTGAGGAACCTCTGATTAAATTGAAAATTGTTGGAAAATTGCTTGTCGGTGAATTAACTGTTTCTAAAGTATATTAACATCAGATAATGTTAATACTGCTTTGAAATAGTTATTATGGCATCATTATATTTCAACAAAGCAAGTGTTCCCTATATGATATTTTGTTACCTTTATAAGTAAAACATTTTCCGAGATTTAATTCATTTAAGTGAATAATCGGATTGCGCATAATGTATCTCTTGTTAAAAACTAACCTCAATATTATCCCGTCCGAATCTGTATCTATTTAAGGCGGTGAGTAACGCTGTGCCAGCTAATAGATTGAACACATACATGGTTAGCTGTTCGAAAATAAAATAAACTGGTTAAATGGCCATTGGATATGTAAATAAACTACGATAATGCAATCCAAAACATAACCTTTCAGACTGATCGCTACATTCAGTGATGAGAGAGAGATTAATCGAAATTCCCTGATAAGAGAGTGAGATTAATAAAAAAATTATCATAAATACCATTACCTGTTTCACATAATAGAGTAAATGAAATGACATTTTCTAACATTTATTGGGCAAACAGGTGCTTTATTTTCATTATTAATGAAAAAACATGTTACACAAGAAGCGATGAAAGGAATGCCAAGCAGATTTAAATTTCAACAATCCTTAGCTACATAGATATATGAAGGTAATTAAGTGTAGGTAAGTATAGATAATCAAAACCTTTCAGAATTTTTACTTTGATCTCTAATTATAAATAGATCAGCTTCATTGCCATAAGTTCTGGCTTGAGATATTTTGTGATGTCCACTGTGACACAAGAAGGCCTGTCTTATTTTTAATTGTTATTTTTAAAGGGTTTATCTTTAAAGGTATTGACGACTTTAGAGCATAATATTCATAAAGAGCTTTTTGTTACCTTACCTGAAGTCTCTTTTTAAATCGGTGCCTCGATTCTCAGCTTCCCTCTACTATCCATGTCTAGTACTTGCAGCCTCTAATTCTCGAAAGCAACGTCTGGCGTCTTACGTTTTAGACACGCTTTTTAAATCTTTATTTACTGGAGTTATGATGTGATGAAGGTAACCTTCATGTCAGACAAATTGCCCTAAGTTTCAGAGTCATAAACTGAAATGTTAAGGCATTCATATTCTTTTAGTGGCATGGGAAGGATTGCACGCGTCTTTCTTAGTATACCATGTAGTCTGATTTGGAATATGGGGGCTTCAGTTGATTTCCTTTTGTGCGAAAGCAGCCTATTCTTGTCCAGACAGGACACTTGCAGCCACAGAATACATGGACAGGCGCAGAAAACGAAAAGGCTGACACCAATTTGTGAATCTGTTTTCAAGAGACGAATTCTGCAAACAGACCTACATCTTGAAAAAGGGCAAAAAAATTCATTCTATGACTACCTCCAAAAATGGATAGGCTCAAAGATTTTAGAAGAAAAAAGATTCCCACCATCTGGCGAAAATGTGCATAATTGTATATGATATTCCTGTGGTAAAAAGGGTGCACATTTATTTAATTTCCAAGATACCCATAGAAATTGTTGGCTTTCATTTCCAAATAAAAATGCTGACAACCATATAAAAACTCTTCCAAACTGATAAGGTCATTTTCACCGCAGTCAAATGCACTGAAAAATTCCCCCGATGGCAGTTTGTTCAGCAGCATATTCAGTGGTTTCTGTGGATGTTATTTGGATTAGTAATGATTAGTTACTAAAGGCAAATTGACGGATAAGAGATTAGAGATGCAATTAAAGTCAAAGTTTTTCCTCAAAAGGCGTCTAAATACCACCATGCATATATAGTTTAAAAAGTATCACTTATAAAAATAACCATTTTTTCATAACATCGGAAAATGATATTTAAATGGCTTTCTCTGCTTGTTTTCTGTGCTCTATATAAATGGGACAGATAAGGAGGTCAGAAAATTTGGTCAAATCACCGGTCAACATTTTAAAGAAAGGAACAGGTTAAATCTCTGTTATGGTTGGTGAAGTGATTTATTTAGCTTATCCCTTGACATGTTGAATTTATATGAGTCGTATAAGGCACTACTAGAAGGGGTTTAAATGGGAGCTCAACCAACGTTTAATTCAAATGTACATTTATATTGCCTTGTCGAATAACGTTGACCAGTTGATTCATACATATAAACTTTCCCATGAACACACGAACGTACCCACATATACATTTTAAAGTACCTGGAATGACATATTTGGTGAAAAATATATTTTTGTTTCTTATTTGTAGTGATTTGATTTGCGTTTTGTTTAGACCCGGACTTTTGGGATGTAATTGCTATTATAAAAGAGACAAAAAGTACTATACTTTCTTCTGAATCAAAGTAAATATATATATGAAAATATCGCATGTATAATCAACTTCAAAAATTTCCCCACTTTATTTCATAGCATTCCGAATAATGGTATCCATGAATGTGATAATTTCGACCCTCATTGGGTTTTATATTTAGTTAATTTCCAGGAAAACCATAAAACAGGACTGTCGTGTTGTCTTTCATTTCAAAATAATAATCGTTACAGCCAAATAAGAACTCTTCCAAACTTATGATGTGATTTTGGTTGCGGTCAATGTAATTGAACAGTTCTTCAGGGGGCAATATATTGCGTGTTATATGTAAAAGCTTGGAATACTCGTCAAGAGACATTTTTTCATCGCAGTCTACATCTAAAATATGGAACAAATCCGAACACCAATATATCTGAAGCTCATTCACTGATGCAGTTAGGAGGTTCATTTCATACAACTTAAGAAACCTATCGAGGTTAATTACTTGTTTTGTGTTGGACGTTTTGCCGTGCAACGAAAACTGCCAATCTTTTGCCATTAGTCCGAACACAGCATTGGCCCTCCATGGGGAGAGAACCTGTTGAGCTCGTTTTGTCACTTCGTCCACGTATTCCTCTTTGTAGACGAAACCGTCATTGTTGATGTCTATAACTCTGAACCACAACGTGAATTTCTGAATCCAAAGATCAGATATTTGCTCGTCTTGAGGAACCTGTGGATATATTGAAAATTGATGAAAAATTGCAAGTCGATGGATTAACTGTTTCTAAAGGATGTTAGCAATATTAATAATTTAATACTGTTATAAATAGTTACTATGACAACATTATATTTTTCGCAAAGGACATGTTCCCTCAAATAGATTTAATTAACTTTAAAAGTATATTTTCCGTGTTTAAATACATTTAATTGATTGATGAGATTGTGTATGATGTATAATGTATTGAAAGCTAACCTCAACAACATCCCGTCCGAAACTGTATCCATTAAAAGCGATGAGTAAAACAGTGCCAGTTAATAGATTGAACACATACATGGTTAGCTGTTCAAAAATAAAACAAACAAGTTAAACAGACTTTGGATAAGTTAATAAGACAGAAAATGCACCTTTCAGACTGATCGCTACAGGGTACATGATCCCCTAATAACTTGGAATATAGCAAAACACGTATTCCCAGATAATAGAGTGAGGTTTAATTGATAAAAAATATCATTATCCTAGGGTTACTACTTAAAATGGAATATTTTTATCATTGTTATTTTTGAGTACCGATTAATTTTTTTTGCTTGATTCATCAAAATGTATGTCCTTGAGTGATAAAAATATCCAGTCTTCTATTGTGAGATATTTTGGTCAATAATATCAAATCTGACATAAGATGTCACTCAAAAGAAAAGAACACCCTGTTCTAGAGAAAAAACACTAAAAACTTTACCCTCTCACACTAAAAGCATGTTTGAAAGTCATCTCCTACTCAGTGACAGTTAAAGTGAAACACCTGTTTTACAGGAACTTTTTTAATGCAATATCGGAATAAAATAGAACTATGATAGAACAAAGGAGGAACACTTGTGCTTTAATTTTTATTGCACCGGAGGATAAATCCAGAATATTGTTTGGTAGCAGAGCTAGGTTAAACTTTTTTTAAAGAACATTGTTTGGTAGCAGAGCTAAGTTGAAATGTTTTAAAGAACAACAGAAGTTTTAAAAGGCACTACAGTAGACAGACAGTCTAAATTGACCATGAGTTTGAAAACGAAAGAAGATGCTGGCCAGAACAGCTTTTGTTGCTGCAGCCAGTGAGTTTGAAAACTGGATAGAAAATATGCCTAAAATGAAAGAAAAAGCTAGAATCAGGCAGAAATTTCAAGAACTAACATTGGTTTTTGAACAGTATGTAATAAGCTGTGATGAACTACTTAACCAGCTGGACAGGTGGGGAGAAGTAGATAAAATTGCATGTACTACTGCTGAATTAGAAGCGACACAGGAGCGTAACAGAGATCTGGAAACGATCATGAATGACCTCATGTTAACCAGATCAACCCCTAGTCATAAGCAGACGCCTAAGGTCAGTAAGAACTTTAGTAAAGAAGAATCAGCTATAAAAGAAGAAATTCATCGTCTGACAGTTAAATTAGAAGAAACTTTCCTGCAGTAAAGCAGGGGATAGAAGACATAGAGCATGAAATAAGCCCTATTAACCCTTTACCACCCAGAACAATACCCATACAATTAAACAGAAAATAGAGGGAGTGGAGCATGAGATTAACCCTGTTGACCCTATGCCCACCAGAACAGAAAAACGTCAGAGTCAGATAAAAGAAAAAACTCAGATTGATTAAGTCATCAACCCTTTGCCAAGTGTACAGCCAAAGGGAGCCCAAGCCCAAGCACAGCCAGTGCATGTTATGCATGTAGCAGGCGCAGAAATTGAATAAGAGATGGAACAGAAGAAAAAGGTACCACAAAAGCAGTATCAGCCTGTGTCATCTAGGCCATTCAGACAGGACATGTCTTCAGTGAGACCAGTCAGAAGTGAACTGAGAACTACAGCCCGATTTTCCTACCCAGACATATCCAGGACTCGAGCACAGTAGAGTCGGTCAGTATTGACTCGTCAGACTTCTAGAAAAG